TTATTAAAATAATTTTAAAACCCAACTAAATTTAAATAAATTATTTTTTATTAAAATTAATTTAGAAAAAAAAAAAAAAAAAAAAAAAATGAAAAGATCAGAAGGGGGGGGGGGGGGAGAGGGGAGGGAAAAAAAGTGAATGATTTGGGTTATCGTTCTTCTTAAACAATTTTTTTTATTGTTCAAGTTGAATGATTTGAGTTATTGTTTTCCTTGAACAATTTTTTTTATCGTTCAAGTCAAACAATTTGGGTTATCATTCTTCTTGAACAATTTTTTTATCATTTAAGTCAAATAATTTGGGTTATCGTTCTTCTGAATGATTTTCTTATCGTTCTTCTTGAACGATTTCTTATCGTTTTTCTTGAATGATTTTTTATCATTCAAGTTAACGATTCATCATTATTTTTCTTGAATGATTTTTTTATCATTCAAGTTGACGATTCATCATTGTTTTTCTTGAATGAATTTTTTATCGTTCAAGTTGAATGATTTCTTATCATTTAAGTTAAACAATTTCTAATCGCTTTTCTTAAACGATTTTTTATCATTCAAGTCGAACGATTTCTTACCATTCTTCTTGAACAATTTCTTATTATTCTTCTTAAACAATTTTTTTATCGTTTAAGTCGAATGATTTCTATTGTTCTTCTTAAATGATTTTTTATCATTCAAGTTGAACGATTTTTTATTATTCTTCTTGAATGATTTTTTTATCATTCAAGTCGAACAATTTCTTATCATTCTTTTTGAATAATTTTTTATCATTCAAGTTGAATAATTCGTTATCATTCTTCTTGAATGATTTTTTATTGTTCAAGTCGAACGATTTCTTATCATTCTTCTTGAACAATTTTTTTATCATTCTAGTTGAACAATTTCTTATTGTTCTTAAACGATTTTTTTATTATTCAAGTTAAACGATTTTTTATCGTTCTTTTTGAATGAATTTTTTATTGTTCAAGTTGAACAATTTAGATCATCGTTCTTCTTGAACGATTTTTTTATCATTCAAGTTAAACGATTTGGATCATCATTCTTCTTGAACGATTTTTTTATCATTCAAGTCGAACGATTTCTTATCATTTTTCTTGAATGATTTTTTTATTATTCAAGTCAACTCAAGTCAACTTGAATCAAGTTGAGTTTAAATTGAGTTGAGTTAAATATTTAACTCGACTTGAATTTGGCTTGACTCGCAAATCATCGAATCAAAAAAACATAAACTCTACTTGATTTGAATTTGACTCAACTTATCTGACTCGTGAGTTAACTTGACTCATCTGAAACTCTACTTGGTATTAACACTTTATTACATGCATAAACAACTGCATCCTAACGGATTCTAGTAAAATCTATATTAATTTTCGATAAATCAATTCCAATTATTTCATCTCCAATTTTAAGTTCAATTTACTGAATTTTTGTATTATCAAAATTTTGTTATTTTAAAATTATTTGTAATTCTTTTTCAATATTTTTAGTTAGTAATTTTATACGTTTATTTTGTTGTGAATATAATGTAAGTATAATGAAAAATTTTTGTGTTTGATGAGTATTGATATAGTTTTTTATGCTTCAATTAAACAAAAAATATCAAAACCAAATAAAATAGTTCTATAAATATATGTTTTTTTATAACTAAATTATTTTTTTTTTTTTTTAAAAAAAAAAGGAGAATTTAATAAATAAATCTGATATAAATAATAATAAATAAAAATGATTAAAATATAAAAAATCAAAATTTACCATTAAAAAGTCTGGTAATACTTGATACGGAATTGTTATTTGAGATATATTTACCAATATTTTACAAAACTTTTTAATTAAATACAAATTTTACTATTTTATTAAATAAATAATTTGTTTCGTAAATAATATCAAATTCTTCTAAAGTTGTTTCAACTTTATAATTGTCTGATATTTTATACTCAGAACAATTCTTGATGTTTTCTTTGTTTTTTTTTACATTAGAAGGATAAATATCTAATGAATAAATAAATTTTTTTAAATGATATTTGTTATTACTTTCATAATAGGTGGTAGTAATTATATACTATTTGAATAATCATGAATAAAAGTATGATTTGAATTCTGATAAAAAAAATATAAAATACAATAAAAAAAGAAATAAAATTAGATAATAAAATAAAATAGATTAAACAAAAAAACTAGCAATATTTATAAAATATTTTCTTACTCGAAATTAAAAAAATTATGATATTACTTATATATTTTAAATTTTTATATTTTAAAATTATGTATATTATAAAATAAAAGCAGTTCATATAAGATAAGAACGGATAACCAATAAAATGATGATTCTTTACGATTTTCTACTATATTATTTTATTATAAGAGAGTTTTTTCTTCACTTGCTTATTTGATCATTATCAATATTAATTATTTTGTTACACAAAATCTGTATATTCCTCAATTTTATCACTTGACTAGATGAGTCTGATTAGCCCATATATTTAATTAATTAATAAATATTTTTAACTAATTATTAATTTTATAATTATATTATTATTTATATTAAGTATTTTTTTCTATTAATTTTGAATAATTAGTTTCAAATTATAAATAAATTTCAATATTATTATTTATATATATTATTAATTTATTTTATATGTTATATTTAAAAATTAAACAGTTATAATAAAAATAGAATTATTATACATAAAAATACTAAAAAATTATTTATAATTTTTCAAGTAAATAAACATTAAAAAATAAATAAATATAAAAAAGATATATTTTTATACTAATAAAAAAATATTTAAAATATTAAAAAATGTATTTCACATTTTGAAATAAAAATACAACTTTGTAATTTTTTCAAAGTTTTTAAAATATTTAATTATTTATTTTTAATTATTTATTTCTTTAGATATTACTGATAAAACTTTATTAGAAATATTAATTATAACTAATTCATATCAATAAAAAATATAATTCTAAAATTTTATTAAGTTAAAGTCAAATAATAAAAATATTATATTTAAATTATATTTGGATATCAAAATTATTATATTTTATATAATTTTAAAAAAAATCGAATTTTAATGTTTATTAATTACAGTATTTCTTGTACAACCTTTGTTATACTGTTTTTAAACCTTAAGAATAAGTGCAAAATGTAATTGCACGCTGAAAATTATAAATATGGGAGGGTTTCTAGGAAAATCAGGTTCCGAGAAATTTTTGACTAAAATTAAGAGCTTAATGCATTTTAATCTAATAACATCAAGAACTAAAATGCAATAAAAATCTTAATTTTGTTAAAAAATTCCCGGAACCTGATTTTCCTAGCAATCAACCCATATATTAACGTATCATATACCCTAAAAATCATTTTTACATTTTTTTTTTTTTAACAAGATATTTTACAAGTTAATAACCCCCTTTCCTGCTTTGTCAGGTTGCCGTTAACATGAAACTCGAAACAAGGACGCTTTTAGATATGAACTTTGCTAAAGATATAAAATAGCTTTTAAATGTACTTTAAGAACGTCGTTAAATACTTATTATGTGACAAGGCGTATGAATTTTTGTGGAGGATTTTTATCTTATGCTAAACGTCCTTGGTGAAAAGGTATGTTATTTTACATATATTGTTAGCAAACCTGGATTTGTCCTTTGTGATGATATAACGGTTCATACTGCCTCGAAATGTTGCGTCAGACGCCTAACATAAAACTCAAATCCAAGTTGTTGGGTTTGTCCTTTGTGTGAGTATGTAACTTTTATATTGCTTCGAAGTGTTGCGTCGTCTGACGCCTAACATAGAACTCTAATACAGGGTGCTTTTAGGATGACTCAGCACGATCTTTGCTAACATTATTTTAGATTTCTATTGTTTTTAAATGTACTTTAGGAACGCCAGTTTGTGTTTTATCTTTTGAAATTAAAAACTTACGATCAACGTCCTTTGGTAAAATGGTATGTGTTTTTTTTTACATATGTAAATTGTTAGCAAACCTGGATTTGTCCTTTGTGTGGGTATAACGGTTCATACTGCCTCGAAGTGTTTCGTCAAACGCCTAACATAAAGCTCAAATCCAGTTGTTGAGTTTTCCTTTGTGTGAGTATGTAACTTTTATATTGCCTCGAAGTGTTGCGTCGTCTGACGCCTAACATAAAACTCTAATCCAGGGTGCATTTAGGATATGACTCAGCACAATCTTTGCTAACGTTATTTTAGATTTCTATTGTTTTAAATGTACTTTAGGTACGCCAGTTTGTTTTTTCTTTATGGAGATTAAAAACCTTACGCTCAACGTCCTTGGTGAAGAAGTATGTATTTCTTTATATATTGCTTTATATATTGTTAGAAAACCTGGATTTGTCTCTTTTTTATGAGTATAACGGTTCATACTGCCTCGAAGTATTGCGGTCGACGCCTAACATAGAATTCGATTCCGGGATGCTTTTAGGAATGATTGGTATGTATATTTGCTAAATTATTTTATATTTCTATTATTTTTAAATATTCTTAGATTCAATTTTTTGGAGATTTAAACTTACGCAAACGTCC